CTGCCCAAAGAGATGCACAGACCATACACAGCTATTTACTATCAAAGTAAAACGGGAGAACACAGGCTAATCTCAGCTGTGTGTCCTAACCATTTGCTTCTCCTAAAATATGTAAACTTTCTTTCTTCCCTTCCCCTTAGGATAAGTAACTAATTGTTACTTTTGAAAATATGCTAATCTACATTTCTGAAGTATTACAAAATGGAAAAAAAGTTCATTTCAGATGACTTCAGAGTGCATGCATCACCTCATGCTGCAGAATAGACACCTCAGAATCAAGCTTGCTCTTTAAGAATCCTTGCAAAAATAATTCAAAGCATTTTTAGTGTCTTCTATAGTAATTTTTTTTCATAATTAATGCACTAAAGACGACCACAGTGAAACCCATGCATACAATTCAAAATGGGCAAGGCATGACCACTAAGCCCAGGTTGTTCCGATCTCTAAAAAGCTATATGGAATGCAAACTGTTGTTTATAAGACACAGTATGAAATAACTAAGCTGCAAGATCTGGTACCATAACATCAGATATAACACTAATACTAATAATGTCAGGTATCTGTGCTCCACCAGCACCATGGTACAACAGCACCCTCTCTCAGATCACACTGAAGAATACATAACTGCAAAAGGGATCGTCCAGACAGGTTAAGAAGCTAGTTCAGCTGGCAACTGCTCAATATTTCCACCCAACCTGATCTTCTGCGGTGAAAACCACCAAAGATTGAGCAGTTTGTGCCTTCTGAAGAGCTGACGGCACTCTTCTGCACCCAGCACCACATACCCAAGCTGCTGCCACTGACTGGTGTCAGGAGGCTGCGGAAGGCTCCTGCCTGTGTACAGCTTCGAGCAGAGGTGCCGTAACAAAATGAGGTGGGACAGGAATCTGTAAGCAGGACCCTGCAATGATACTGCCAGCATTACATCCAAGTCCCTCCATGGAATCTTAGCTGGATCTTGCTTCTGGACATGTATGAAAATCTAGCAACACATTAACATTCCCCCCAAAGCCTGCATCCACATTCAAGATGATCTCAAAACTAAACCAAACAAGACTGGAAGAATGATACAGCAAAGCCCACACACCCTCAGTGCAACATACACCACACTTCTTCCTTCACCCAATGATCTCAAAATTCTTTGCAATCAAATCCTTTGCAAGAGCTGTGTTGAGTAGAAACTACCTTCCATTTTGTGAATTCCAGTTTTGATAAGGAATTCACTATTCTGTGCAACTCCTTCTAGTCAGGACTAGAAATGCTTTTAAAGTCATATTTCCTAAAATGAGAGAACACGGAAGAATTAGGCTAGGAAAATTATAAAAAACATCTAATAATGAACAATTTGACTCAGCCTTAGTGAATAGTGTTCACTGAACAGTGAGTACAACTAATGCTGAAATCCTTTTCCTTTCTCAGTGTGGAAGGGATAAGGCTAAGTTTTTCCATTGCTGGAACTCATGTGAAAAAGAATCTTTGTTTTGTTGTCTCTGCATCACCAAATGTGTGACAGTTTCCACAAGCAATACTGTACAGTGAATGGGTGTCCTAAGAAGAAGTCAATGTTATATTTTCAGAAGGTCTAACCTGCGTACCTGCTTAAATTCTTTAAGCCCCATTCTACTGATTTCCTTGTTTATTGCTATTTGTACAGCACCTACAATTCAAGCATCAGAAACGCAAATGAATCAAGCACCACCACAACCTCGGGAAGCGAAGAAGTGCAATGCCACCATTGTTACACAAATTGATGATCTTAAGGTCACTCAGGAAACTTCTGTCAGACCCAATAATAAAACTCAGACTAATGTTGTTATCCATAACCCCCTCCTCCCTTAAAAATATTCCAGTGTAACCTAGGTTGAATGAAGATTCTAATTTAGAACATTACAATTCTCTGTACCTCCATTCACAATGTAGTTGCTGTTTGTACTTTTTTAATACTATTGTCACCAATTGGTTTTAAACGTTTTAGTAAGACCATTAATGTAGTTAGCTCTGACCTAGTTTTAAGTTGTTTCATCTTCTCCTGTCATATTGCTCATTGAAGAAAAGCACAATTAAGTAATGCCAAAAGAAATCAGTCAAATAATACAAAACCAGTAGACTAAAGTGTATTTCTCCAGATGAAATATTGCCTTGCTTCCCGAGACATTACTCTGGGCATGCTTTGTATTTTAATGACAAAAATCATTTTACCAGCTAAGTATTTTAAACTGCAAATGGAACCAAATGAACTAACATACTATGAAACAATAATTAACGACCTCATTGCTCATTGTTTCTAACTTGCATTGTTCACTACAGCTGCTTACCTAACTGTTTAGTTGCTGATTTAAGGATTTATTTGCAGCCTATTTCTGGTGAATTGCAACTAAGGTTGTGTCAGGTAAACACACACTCCCCTGACCTCCCATTTATACTGCAAAGGCTTCTGTCCTCACACATCTTGCCCTAGGGTGCAAGTCCACATATCAATGTGATCTCTTCAAGTGGCTGTAATTTAGTTTGATTCCCTGCACACTGGGATATATGCAAGGCATTCTCCAAAATTCCTGGTTCTTTAAAGTGAACATTGGTAGCAGAGACCAGGTTTACATGTTGGGAAAAAAACCACCCAAAACAACAAAACTCAGGACAAATGCTCTATTATATATACAGTAAAGCTGGAAGTCCACTTATTTGATGGCAATACAGAATTTCTGACACATTCGGAAAGTCCATAAAGTCTTGGGAAAAGCAGGTTCCCACGGGAAATGAGAGAGCACAAACAATTGGGTTGTGCAGAATGATGAGATCCAAAAGTGTCAAGTCTTTGCATCTTCACATCAAATCTGTCAATGTAAAATGAGAACACTATTTAACCGCAGCTTTCATGGGTGTCACCATTTTGAAGGAATGAATGTTCCTTACTATAATTTGAAGCCAAAAAGGACTATTTACTGTAATGAGAAATAAAACTGATAGTGGTTTAAGAGCAGAAGCTTTACAGTATCTTAACTACAGCTTTATTATATTCATATTATATCCTCTGACGTTATCTGACACAAATCACTGTGGATAACATACCAGGCAGAAAGCAAGAAAAAGCAGAATGCAGAGAGAAAGAGAGGTCTCAATCCTGCAAACTGTCCTGTATGGACATATCACAAACCCCAAAGGACAAAACATCATCCTGCGTTTAACAGCTGCCTATCTGCCTATTCAAATACAAGGATTCACCTACACCACACAGAGTGCAAGGTCGGAGATACTGTTCAGATAGCACAAAGCTCTATAAGCTATAAGGAGAAAGTGGCTGAAAAGTTTCCATTCTTGGAGATGCTAAATACCAACCTGAGTAACCTCTCTGGCTGAACCTGCTTTGTGCAGGCCATTTGATTGCACAGCACTTCCTTTCAACCTCAACTATTCCACAATCCTGCGATGTTCCATTCAAATGCAATCTGTATGATCAGAAGACAGACATCAACTGTCATAATTCACTGTAGGACTTCTCAATGAGAAAACACGTTGCGTTAGCAACCTCGGTGAGAGTTCAGGATTCTTTTGTACCTCCCAGGTAAGTAGATATTGGGAAAATCCTCCAAAAACCTTCATCAAGACTGAGGTATTATGTATTAATCTACAATATATGCAGTGCTACAGAATTCTTATATGCAGCATTTAGGAATACATGACTGGTTTTTCTGCTTCTGAGCTACAATTCTCACACCTCTATGAACACACCATTGATTATATGTCTGCAAGACATTTCAAGGGGTGCTTCAAGTCTGCCTCTTCTGCCCATAGACGGAAATCAGATGTGATTGAAGGATGCCCTCCAAACCAGACACCCTGCACATCTACACAGATGCAGCAGCTCTGCGTAGTCAGGTTGCACAGCACAAGCTCTGCACTAGAAATTGTTATTTAAGAGCCACCAGAGGTTTACCAGCAAGAATACATTGCTAAAAAACATCCTTACAGATCACAGAATTCTTTTTAGAATCTGCTTCACTTTCATTCTTGCCAGCCATCAATCATCATAAAACCACTGCGTACTGCACTTGCCTCCATCGAGGTTTTACAAACAGAAACTTGTGCTTTTTAAGCAGATTTGACACTGAATCCACTTTTTGATTCACATTCCCCAAGCAAATCACACTTCTGTGAAAGAAAATAAGAAAATACCACAAAACAGACTCTGATAGTGTAATTCTTCACTGTTTTTCTATTACGGCTCGCTCTCGCAGGCAGCTTGCAGTGGATTGTTGATGCTTGATTCAGGAGCATTCTGCAGCAGTCAGTCAGCTTTGTGGGTTATTTTACCCATATTTCAGCCTCTGCTTGAGGTACAGAAGATTTTTGCTAGCATGTTATGTGGTACTTGTGATGGGTGCATGAGGGTGCATGCTCATGGTCCCAAGATGCTGCAAGAGCACAGCTCTCCTATACATGGTAGGTCATTTGGTATATTCACACTGTCATGTTCAGCAGCAAGGCCAGAAACAACCCTATCTACCCACAGCACCCAATTCAAGGTGTTTTCAAAGGGCTCTGTAACCACTAGGTCTCTCCCAAGTGTCCCCAGTCCAACCTCACACCCCTGAGGTGACACTTGCAGGCACCCACTGACAAAGGACACAAACACTGGGATGTGGCACAGCTGGAACAGGGTCAGGTTCCAAAGACAGAGATTCCCCAGTTTAAAGTGCCACACGCTGAGAGCCAAGCCCTGGTTGAGTGTCCTCAGGGAAGAGAAGGGACAAAGCATCTCCACGGTGCACACACCTCAAGCCAGCACCCCGTAACGCAGTGCAGAGGCTGAAGTGGTTTTGGTGGTGGGAAAACAACGCAGCGCTGACAAACTGCAGCACCTTTCCGGCACATAAACTGACACGGCAAACTCCAACCGACCGAGCTAGCTCGCAGGGACAAAGCTCCCATCTCCACATAACAACTCCCACTCAGACCGCCCCGCCGCCATCTTGCCCGCGCTCCCGCCCCTTGCACCCCATTTCCCGGGAGGCACCGCGGCGCTGAGGGGAGGCGGCGGCGGAGCAGAAGGTACGGGTGGGAGCCGCCGAGCTTCGGTCTGGAGCCGCTGCCCTGAGCGCGCTGCTCGCCCGCAGGGGCTCCGTTCCGCTCCTCAGCGCGGCTGCGCGCTCCCTGCAGTCACCTGTGGGAAGGCCCAACCCGCCTGCACCGCTCCGCATGCGGCCGGTGTACAGGGTGTGGAAGAAGGCCCGGGGAGGGGAGTTGAAAACTTAACTCTTTGTAGCGGCAGTTATATACTTGCTTTTCTCACAGCAGTCATCGGTTGTACATGTATACGTATATATAACCTCTCCTTTGAGAATGTATTTCTGCCTCGCCTACAAGGTGGTGAAATGAAGGGCTTCAGTTAAAACATGAAATAGATCTGTGAAGAACAGAATGTGTAGCAACATTAAAACTCAGATTTTAATGCATTATTATTTACAATGTGTTTTATAGGTCAGTTTCCTTATACAGTGCCCAAGGAAAGAGGATGGAACCAGAGAAGGCTGCCAAGCAAACAGTCCTCATCACTGGAGGAGGTGGCTATTTTGGCTTCCGGTTAGTACATTAAGTAATTATTACACTCCAGAGTAAATGTAAAAGACTGCAGCTTGCAAAGCAGCAAAATCCATCTGTAAAAGAGAAATCTGTGGGCCTGAAATACCTGATCCAGTTCACCCTATCTTCTTATGATCTCAGTTTTAAACAAACATGTTCTACTGTTTCCACCTGCTTTAAGTAAATAATGCTGTTCTGTTTCCAAATGTCAAGCATCAACTGACTTGCCGACATTTACCTCTCTGGTCACCTTTGTAATGGGGATTTAAATTACCACCTTTCAGCCTACTCTGCAGAGCAAGGCTACACCTATATGCAGACATTTCTTTTGATAGTAAGTCATGGCCTGCACACATGTTCTTAGCTATATGGATTAAATACTCCATCTCCTCTCAAGGATATATTTGTTTTCATGGACAGTGATGTTTTAGGGTTAGAGTTGTTAATAAGGCATGTATTTCAGTGAAATCCGTTTTCACCTTACTGCAGTGGCTCTGCACACCATGTAAACAAAAAACCCTATTTTGGGCCTTAGACTATATTCTGGAGTACTTTCAGAGTTACAACCGCTTATGCTGATGTGAGAGATTACAGTCATGACCAGAAAGTAAATTTCAAGGTGGGTCTTGGGGGGCAGTCCCCCAGGATCTGACTTCTGTTTGGCTTTCTCTTCCACTGTCTCCCCTTTAAGCACTACAAAAATACAGGTTGTGGGAAAGGAGTACCAGTTTTATCCTGTTTGTCAATACCTGCATTTATACCTGTGACTTGGAGTAAAACCTAGACATGTGGCAAAGTATTCAGACCAGCACAGAAGCATCTTGTTCATTTCTTTTCTCCATCAATTTCAAACACAACAGCAAAGACCAACCCATTGCTGTGACAGAATTGGGATGGCACAAAAGCAGTAAGATAGAAACAGCAAGATTTAAGTATCTGGCTGCAGGTTTACATCTGAAAGGTTTGCTGTTGCTGATCTGTTGGGGACAGAAGCAGAGAAATATCTGGGTTCTTCTACAAGGCTGCTGGAAGCACTTCAATTATTTCTTTTCTGATTTTTCCTTTACAGCAGTTCTCTTTTTTTGGTTTTTTTTGGGTTTTTTTTTTCCTTCTTTTCTCTCCAAAGTTTGATGGATCGTAAGAAGTTCATTCAGTACCTGAAGTATTACAGTTGAATCTGTAGTAGATGGCTGAATATTTAAGGCTCCCATCAGAAAAAGAAGGGAAAAAAAGAAATCAGTATTAAAATAGTTAACAGTCTCACCTCCAGGTGAAACATCTCATGCATCATTGTGCTAGGTATACTAACATACGGTTTCTGTCATGTTTTAGTTTAGGCTGTGCCATATACCAAAAGGGAGTAGACGTGATTCTCTTTGATGTCATGAAGCCACTTCAAACTGTGCCAGAGGGAATAAAGTTCATGGAGGGGGATGTCCGTTGCCTGTCTGAAGTGGAAAAGGCTCTTAGAAATATAATCTGTGTATTCCATATTGCTTCCTATGGAATGTCTGGCAGGGAGCAGCTGAACCGAAAACTTATAGAAGATATTAACGTAAAAGGAACAGAAAATGTCATCCAAGCCTGCAAGAGCACAGGAGTGCCGAGTCTGGTTTATACAAGCACATACAACGTGATATTTGGAGGCCAGATCATAGAAAATGGGGATGAATCTCTGCCTTATCTACCTCTTCACCTTCACCCAGATCACTACTCCCGGACCAAATCTTTAGCTGAAATGAAGGTGCTGGAGGCAAATGGTGCTGAGCTTGGAAATGGGAAGGGTATACTAAGGACCTGTGCTCTCCGACCAGCAGGCATCTATGGGCCTGGAGAACAAAGGCACCTTCCAAGAATAGTTAGTTACATTGAAAGGGGATTGTTTAAATTTGTATATGGAGATCCTTTTAGTTTAGTAGAGTTTGTACACGTAGACAATCTGGTTCAGGCTCATATCCTTGCCTCTGAGGCCCTCAAAGCCAACAAAAAGCACATAGCTGCAGGCCAAGCCTATTTTATTTCAGATGGCAGGCCTGTAAATAACTTTGAATTCTTCCGCCCGCTGGTGGAAGGTTTGGGTTACAAGTTCCCAACCTGTCGTCTTCCTCTCTCCCTTGTCTATTTTTTTGCATTCCTTACTGAAGTGGTTCATTTTCTGATAGGCCATGTTTATAATTTTCAGCCCCTCCTCACTCGCACAGAGGTTTACAAAACTGGGGTTACGCATTATTTTAGCATGGAGAAGGCCAGAAAGGAGCTGGGGTACAAGCCTCAGCAATACAGCCTGAATGAAGTGATTGAGTGGTTCCGATCTCAGGGGTGTGGAGCAAAGCCAAGAAAATACACCATTATCCATCTTGTGAGGGATGGAGCAGTGCTTGTGCTGCTGATTGGTGTGATGGCCTTGTGGTTTCCGTCTGTGGTTACATTTTCACTCTGAAAGGTGAAGTGCTGAGCACAAAGAATTTAGTTGTGTTCTCTGAGTACTCTTGGCTTTGACAGGAAATCAAAGTGACTAAAAAAAAAAAAATCACATATTTGTGTCATTCAGGTAAATATCTTTAATAGTTTTATCCCCAAAGAACAGAACTGCTGCATACAAAGGTGTAATTTTTATAAATAATCCCTCTCCAAAGTTAAGTTGATAGATCACTAACACCATGAAGCTCAGTATTACAGTAACAGCATTTTATTCCAGGTACAACACACACTACAGTGAACAGAACAAACATCCCAGGCTGACCCTTCTTCTTCCCTGATGGGATGATACTCTTGATCCATGCCCTTTATTCCTAAAGAGTTTGTGCTTCATGATCCAGAGGAGAATAAACTTATTCTTTGATTACATTCCAAAACCAGATTTTGCTTTCCACCTTGAATGTATATGTGCCTAACCAAGATTAACTGATAAAACAACTAGACAATAAATAAATGCCTTTTTGTTTGTTTTTTATGAATGCATTCTGGTGTGTGTTCTGAGTTACCTCTGTGATATCTAATGACACTTCTCTAAAACGCACAAGTGTTAATCTAAGTTAGAGGAAAGAACTTGAAGCAGCACAGATCTGCAGGTTTTCCTAACAGTAAAATATGCCTGTTTAAAATGAATGAGCCAGCTAAAGTGCATTCATAAATAAGACCTATGATTTTCCCCAGCATTACTGAATGGTTAAACAAATAATCCATCAAAGACATTCAGGGAAGTGATTACATTCATGTTCAACTGTTTATATAGCATTTTTAACCTTTAATAATACTTCTTTAACACCTGACACCATTTGAATAGAACTTTCTCATAGCGTGATGAACACTTGAAATAACAATACTCATAATTCCGTGGAAATTTTGAGAATAGAAAATAAGACCTTGTTAAATACAGGTCACTGCTGTCTCTAGCAACTCCCTTAACTCTTGTCAGTTTAATGTAGGAGCAACTTCACCTCAAAATGTTAAATCATGAAATTGTTTTCCCTTAATCCATGCGCATTATGGAATCAGTACCTCTTGGTGAAAGGACAGTCCTTCAAGAAGTTTACACTTCTGTTCAAACTTAAGTCCTTCCATTTTAATAGCTGAAACTACACCGTCTTCAATGAATTTTGTGTAAGTTGCAGTTACTCCCTTCTGTTAAGCTGTACTGTGATTTAAATGGGGAAGTGGAGAGACAGTAAGTAGTTCTATCACATTGGTAAATGATTCTCAAAGAACAAAAAGGCCTGAATAGAGAAACCAAGAGTCTGCTGCTACCCATGTTTAAAGATCAAGATTTTTGTTAATGTATGTATGATGCCTGAAGACAGCCTTGTTTTTTAAATAGTCATTTTTTTGAGAATTTTACCTTAAAAAACAAAACAACAAACCAAAAATCACTGTTGATAACTACATGTTTTGGTTGCTTGAAATTTTTCTCTCCTCCTTCATTCTCCCACCGCTATGTAAATAAACCACCATGACATAAAACAAACACAACAGCTTGAGGGACAGCTCAAGAGAGAACTGAACCTCTTTCTCCCTACTTCCAACCCCCCCCCCCCCCCCATATTTTACATATGCTTGCATAAAGAGCTTATGTGCCTCCAGCAGAGTGTGGGTGGCAGAAAGGCCACTTTCCAGAAGTCATTAATACACAGCATCATAGTCTGCAGAATAAAGAAACCTTTTTAATGAAACAGAAAGAAGACAAGTCTTGACCCCATGAAAGCACTGGACCGCTGCTCTCTTTTCAGCAGGCCCTGTTTTTTTCAAGCAAAAGCCACTGGGTTATTTTCCCCTTTTAAGTTCTCTGGTTTTGACCCAGTGTTATCAGAAACAGATAAGAAATTTTAATGCCAGCAGAAGCAAGAGACAAAAACAAAATGTACGATAAATTGCACAAGCCTGGTGCACAGAGCCATAGTAACAGTATTTCATCCTAAATTCTGTAAAAATATGGGACATAACTCCTGTGCCCCAGAGGAGTTTCTTTTGCTATTTCTGATCTTTTCATTAAGTAAAACTCTCAATTATTGCCATTCATAATTAGCTCGGTGGGGTTATTGAAAAAATCTATGAGAGGGTCCTAAACTTATGAAGCCTGAATTTACACAGTTATTACCAGCTGAGGTCAAAGCCCTGGACAGCTTTTTGGGTACAGAGGAGATGAACCTTCTAAGAACACATCAGAAAAAAAAAAAGAAAAAAGAATTAAAACAGCCCAAAAATACCAGTACTCTGCAGAAGCTGACTCAACACATGAACATTTCCATTTGTCTGGAGTCAAGGACGGAACTTTTCACTGATAACAGAACAGGAGGCTTTATTTTGTCATAACAGCTCATGACTTCCGCTGGAGCAGAGGATACTAAATCAGGTGCTTGTTAAGAGAAACAGGCAGCAGCTTGGCAATGGCCACTCCAGTCCCATCCACAGTGTGCTGGTACATTCATTAAATCCCCATCATTCAGCTGCACCTAGTAAAAAAAGCAAAGTCCTGACTACAGCAGAGGTGAAGAATACTTTTCCTCTTTCCACAATAAAACCAGGAAATCTGTGGCTTAAGGAGATACTTTATAATTGCTTGGAAATTACGTATGTATAAAGCCAGTCACAGCTGTTCTATTTTAAGTATTTTACAACAAGAATTCTCTTTCTTCCTTTTATTCCTTATTGCTACTCCTGCATGAATAGCTGAGTAGATTAAGGTAATTAATTCAAGTGTTGTGTCTGCTTCCAAATTTTAATCTATTACCTGTTTCCCAAAAGTGAATTACCAGAAAGTCATCTAAAAACTGAAAAAGTAGAACTGAAAATACAGCACAGCTTCAATTTTTCCTAGTCATCAAAATTACTTAACAACTGACAAGTGCCCCTCTATAAAGAATGATGATGATGTTTTAAGAGTCTTTGGTCAGCTCCTTAACCTCACATACAGTGTGTTAAGGTAAAACTTTGCTAGATATACATGAACTGATTCTTCTAGTGAATAGTTAAATATATTTATTTTAGAAGTTTAAATGTCAATCATCCTTAAAGTAGACCAGATTTTATAGTGCTGCCTCCTAACTGACCGAACCAAAATTTTCCTTTATTCCTATTATAGCAATTTCCACATACTTTCAACAGTATAGTGGCGTATTTATTTATGAAGTGATCTTCAGAGAAAAGTGTCCTGAATACTGATAATTTACACGTATTATAAAAGATCTGGGGATTAAATTGCAATTCAGGAGTGCAAAAATGTTAAGGGATCTACTTCTGTTTTCTTTTAGTCAAGCTCACAATTCCCTGTTATGCTGGAGTAACAGCTAAGAACATAGACTTAGCAATGAACGACACTGCACTTCAAGTTCTGTTAAAACTAACAGCTGCACACGTGTATAAATGCTGTTGTGGATCAGAATATAAAGTTGGCTCCCAACTGATTCGGAAGGTTCATTTTCATTATATTAAACGACTATTTCTAATGTCAATAAATGTAATTTCAGTCTGGAAGAAAGACTGCAGTTGGAAATGCCAGCGCACAACCACACCAGAATTCAACAGCAGTGCTTCAGCTTACAGGCAGCATGCAGATCTTTACAACCAGTCTGAAGAATTCAAGGACAATCAATCATGGGTACATACCTAATGCCATCTCACCATCTACAAGGTAGATGCATTGGAGTGAAAAAAAGTGAGAATATAGGCAACAAAACACCAGAATGAAGCAATTTTGTGGACTTCATGCCATTACTCAGAAATTCAAACATGACCTCCTAGACAACTTCAGCTGCAGATACCTCATATTGATTCCTGTTAAGTATGTGTATGATTTTTATCAAAAGATCGGTTTGGGTTTTTTTCCAATACTGCCAACAATTTAAAAAATCACAATATAAAGACCATGTGCATTCAGCCAGCAGCGCTTCTGCCCACGTAACATTGGGGCAGAAAGTTCAGGGGCAGAAAGTTTATGGTGAACAACAAAATTAATGTTCTTGAAATCACTACAAACTTAATCTTTGCCTTGTTCAGGCTTTACTGTTGGAATTGATATAAATCTGATGCTCACCACGGCTGAAGTTTCTATCTACCTATCACCGAAAAAAAGTCGGTTTAGAGTTGCAAGTTAAACATGATCTTCGACCTTTTCCTTCTGCCCTGCTTGTTTGCAGCCAGATGAAGTGCAACAGCAACCATGTCTATGGAAACAATCAATAAGTCAGTTCATATTAAAAACACCCAAATGCCCTTCCTCCAGCTGCTAGAATATGCCAGCAGACCACTTTTCAGTAAGAAATGCCTCAAATGACCGGCAAAAATCATGAAATTCAATGCACAAAGCTTAAATAAAGAAGCACCTGGTATCATCCACAAACAATACGCAAAAACTATTCATTAAAAATAGGTTATTTTAAGGGTTTAAAACTATGTAAGAACAAAACAGTTTAACAGATACTCACTTCAAAAAATTTGTAACAGATTTTCCTGCTAGATTATAAAATTAGCACACACATTCAGACCTTCCTTCACATTAAAACAGTTGCAACTGCACAAGAGTTGCTACGGAGTCTGCCCTACCTAAGATTTGAGGGGTGAGGGTTTGGAGTTAAAACACAGAGTGCAAGAAACAAGAGAAGAGTTATTACACATCACTTGCAAGTCAACAAAAGAGTCAATACAGTATTTTCCTTCTGAGTGTGGTGTAGCATCCTCCAGGGGAAAGCCTTACTGTAAAATAAAATGCATTTCCATAAATACTGAGGGAGTGCCACTTTTGACATCACATATGGATGAAGAACATGTACAGAACTTTTCAAAAGACTATAAAATGTGCTAATTTTTAAGTATTTGCACAGCAGCAGCACAAGTAACTCCTGTGTTCAGCACACAGTGGCTGTCCTGTGTCAGGAATATACATACCAACAAAAGAAGCCAGGACAAATGGACAATTTGGGTATGTCTGCCCTGGAACTGAGCTTAATAAAAAAATCCCCACAAAAGGAAAGGAAAACCCCACACAGCAACAGCCCTGAGCTCTAGGGTTTGATCTCCCTAAGCTCTAGCATCTTGTAATCCCGTCTTCTGTGATCAGTCCAAACATAGATGGGACTCAGCTGCCTATAAATCCTGTCCCACCTGGAGCAACAACCTCAGGACCTTCCAGACAAGGCCTTGGGTGACCTTTTCTGATCAACACTGACAGTGCAGTGTTCTCACAACATTAAATGGGAATAGTGGAGGGTGTTGCATGAAATAAACAGCACAGGGCCTGATCATACAGCAAAATAACCACATCCTGGAACATGCTACAAAACGCACACATGTGAAAGGTATCCCCACCTCAAGGAACAGCAACTAGATCCCCATATTACACCTGGGTTCTGCAGACAAGTAGTCTAGGTTACAGCTTCTCCTCCCAAACCCAAAGTTGATGTGGGTTTTAATTTGTTTAAGCGGGGGGCTGCACCCATCTAATCCTCAAACAGGTTA